GCGGGGCCCAGCCACATCTGTGCCTGGGAAGTGCTTTTGACATGATTCAGGCTCCTACCTTGTGAACTCAAATCTAGCAGAGGGCTGAGCTGGCGTGGGGTAAGAGCATATTCAGGGAGCCTCTTCCAGCACATGGCTTGTCTGGGCTGGGCTAAGTGTGGGTATGCAGGGACGTGAACACCACAGAGCCACTGCTTTTGCAGTGGTGAGGGCAGCAATGCCACCCCGGGGGAGGAGGCACTGCTGTGAGGAGGTACATGAATCGGGTTCTCCCTCCCACGGAGGAGGATGTGAGAAAAAGGGCAGAAATGGTGTCTCCTTGCTAAGCCTGCTGCCCTCCAAGGACAAGATGACGGGGTGGGTGCTGGCAATGGGTGTGGGACTCCTCTCCCTTCAGTCCTCCTGGGGAGGAGCTGCGGGGCTCAGAGAGCTCCCACAGGGTCTGACAGGGGATGCCGGCTCTGTTGCAAATGGTGCTTGTGCGGGAAGAAAGTGACATGTAGTTGCATGCCTGCCTGTGCCCACGCCTCTTGGCTCACCCCTCCAGGCCATGTGGGTCCCTGCCCTTCTCCTGCTCATCCTCCTGGCCCTGCTGCCCCCAGCCAGCAGTACCGACCCAGGCCAGCCCTGCCCGTCGGAGATGAACAAGGTCAAGGACCTCCTGGAGGTGAACTGCACGGGGCAGGCTCTCAGCACGGTGCCCTCAGACCTGCCTGTGGACACAGGCATCCTGCTGCTCAACGCCAACCAGCTGGCATCCGTCTCCACCGCCACCTTCCTGCACCTCACGCAGCTGCAGGACCTCGACCTGTCTGACAATGGGCTGGTGGCTCTGAACACTGGGCCCAAGCTGCTGTCCTTAAAGGAGCTGATCCTCTCCCGCAATGCACTGAGGGCCCTGCCCACCCTGCAGGGCCTGCCCAACCTCACCCGCCTGGCCGTGGCCCACAACAGCCTGGCAACACTGGCCCTGGGGGCTTTCCATGCTGTGCCACAGCTGGAGGACCTGAACCTGCGAGGGAACCAGCTGCGGACACTGCCCCAAGAGGTCTTTGCAGGGCTGAGGGCGCTCAAGGACTTGGACCTCTCAGACAACCTCCTGGAGGAGCTCCCCAAAGAGCTGCTGCAGGATCTGCAAAAGCTGGAGACTCTCTGGCTCTCGGGGAACCGCCTGCAGAGCCTGCCCACCGACTTCTTCCCCCAGGGGCACCTCTTCCTGTATGTCTTCCTCACCGAGAACCCCTGGCACTGTGACTGCAACCTGTGGTACCTGCGGTCCTGGATCCGGCAGAATGAGGATAGTGTCTATCAGGCAGAGCGAAGCCTAGAAGAGACCAAGGTGGAGGTCGCCCCTGAGAAGGTGCTGTGCCACAGCCCTGATGAGCATCGGATGAAACCCATCATCCGCTTCAAGGCCAACTGCAAAAGTGTGGGGGATGGAGATGAGGAGGAAGAGGATGAATATGATGATGGGGAAGAAACGACGAAGAAAGCTCCCATGACCACCACCATCCCCCCACATCCATCCGTTCCCAAACAGCACACTACCATGCCCAGTGCTACTACCTGGCCTCCCCTTGCTGCCACAATCTCTCCCCTCATCACCCCTTGTAGCTCCACCTTGCTGGCGCTTGTGATGCCGGCAAGCACCAGAGCTCACAGCGCCACCACTCCTGCACCAGCCAGTCCTACCATCACACCCCCACAGAACCCCAGCACTGCTGCCATTCTCCCTGCTGCTCCTACCAGCACCCCACACAGAGCCACCAGTGACATCTCTGCCGTCTCACTGCCAACCACTATGAGCACCAGACCTCCCAGCACCAGCAGCAGCCACCAAACCACTGTCGCTGCCAGCACTACCACCCCCACGATGTCCATTGGCCCATTTTCCACCACCTCCACAGCAGCACCTTCTACTGCCATGCCAGAGGCCTCTTCCATTGTCAGATCTTCATCTCCTCTGATGTCGACCACGCTGGTGGTCTCAACTACCGTGCTTTCCACTCATGCCCCCACACCACCAGCTCCCCTGAACACCACACGCTTCACCCAGCCTGCAGCTTCCCCTCCACCTGCACCTTTCCCCCTCTGCCCGTGCTCCACCCTAGGGATGGCCGTACCCATGCTGCGCTCACGGGCAGGTGCCGAGGGTCCACAGTGGGGGCAGTGGGTGCTGAGGCACTGCTGCCTGTTGCACTGGGTGCTCTACCTGGCCTCCTTGGCTCTACTGGTCCTGACTCTGCTGGCTCTGGCAGGCTGGCTGGCATGGATGTGTCTGGTGGGACAGCCCTCCTGGCACAAGCCTGTGCAGAGCCCAGAGGTGCAGCATCCACTGCTGAGGTGGAGGGAGACGACAGGAAGCCCTGCGATGCATCTCAGCAGCTTCCAAAGCCCCCTCCAGCGCCCCGTGTTCTGTACCATCAAGGAAGTAGAGTTGTGCCCTGAGGTCATTTACTGCACGATTAAAGACCTGGGGATACAGCGCCGTCCTCCTGCAGATTCCTCCTTCTGCACCACAAAGGAGCTGTGGGTCCACCACAGTCCTCCGAACACTTCATTCAAGTCTTTCTCTAGGAAGCAGATGGTCACAAACCTCACCTCCCTGAGGACCCCTTCTGCTTACAGCCTGGACAGGGGTGCCAAGGCCATTGGTGACGTCAAAGTGAAATATGCTGGCAACACCTTGTAAATGCTTCTGTATGTTCAGAGAAAGAGACGGAGGATCATGTCTCTGCTTCATGTGGCCTTATTTTACAAGGGAAAGATCTGCTTGCCTAGGGGGGAGCCATCCAGCTCCTCCCTCTAGTATTACCCTCAAACACCCTGAGGTTTCTGGATCTGAAATAATTACTTTGGTACTTGGCAGGGGCAGATGATGTCCTAAACTGGTCTGTGACAGTTTGGGGCTGCTACTGCCTGGTTTCGGGGTAAGTATGGGAAAGCAGAGCTTACTTTGTACTGTGTCCCAGCTGCTTCTGTTTGACTAATGCATGTAAAGATGCGCTATGCTTTCAACTCAGTGCCAGGTTGTTAATCCCAGAATAAATATTCTCTTTGCCTGAATTTCAAATGGGTGGCAGTTTCACTTCATTGGACCTCCCATAGTCCTGGCAGGGTACAATGAATGACAAAATTGTCTTCAGTGCTTGAAATAGTGAAGATAGAGAGGAAAAGTCCCAGCTGGCTTCCTGGCTGTTGCTCCAAATGTGTGATCCTTTGCTGTGGGATTGAGTCCTGTTGGGAAAGCATCCACTGCACCTCCCACTGTCACGTAATACGTTCAACTCAACCGGACGGGGAGGGGGGCAGGATTAGAGCCACAGTGGCGACGGGATGGAGGTTTTCAGGGAGGAGGTTAGAGTGGCTTTGGTGGGGCTGCTTGTCTTGTTTCTTCCTCTGAAAAGCTGTTTCTCCAGAATGGCTCCCTGCCTGTGTGGAAGGGGGAGGGAGCGCAGGGGGCAATGGGAAGCGGCACACAAATGCTTCAAAAGCCCTGCTGAGCCCCAAATCAGAGCCAGCGAGCCCCGAAGGGCACCGAGCCATGCCCAAGGCTGAGTCACCGCTGGCGGGGCAGGCAGCGGCAGGGGGGACTCCCCTGTCCCCTTCCCCAGCAGAAGCAGCCCTTTGCGGGGCAGCCGGGACAGGCGGTTAAAAACCGTTGAACCGCTGAGGGAGCTGGAGGCAGGCGGGGACCCTCCTCCCTTCTCTGGCTGCACCTTGGGCAGCCCCAAGAGCACCAGGGGGGAAACAAACACAGCATAAAAAATCAGCCTGCCCAGGGCTGCTCGGCAGTGCACCCCCAGTTGCAAAGCTGGGAGCTTCAGCACTGGGCTGAAATGGCGCTGGGACAGACCTGTCCTGACGATTGACACGCTCTTCTCGACCACCATGTTGCCAACTCCCAGGGCCAGGATGGGCTCGAGCCGCCCGACATGGCCTCACCAAGGGCAAGCCCGTGCCTCCCTGCTCTGGTGGCCTTCCCAGTGCAGCGCCTGCAGCAGGGGGCAAGGGCAGAGCCACGCAAAGCATCGCCCTGGGCTTCTGGGAGGCTTTTCCACTGCCCCTCCCAAAAGGTTCTTGCGGCTACATCGGAGTGACACGGATTTGATGCAAGCGGGGCCTCGATGCCCTCCCGAGAGAGAGCGGGGGGCTTTGGCTGGGGCCTGGGCAGGGCCCGGCTTCTCTCCAGAGAGAAATCCCCTGGGCTTTGGCTGGGCTTGGACAGGGCCCAGGCAGGGTCCTGCTGCTCTCACGAGCACTCCAGGGCCTTGGCGGGCAGCGCTGGGGCCCGGGCGAGCCGCTGTTGCCCTCCTGAGAGCCCCGGGGCGGCTGCCAGGCCCAGCCGGGGCCTACAGGGGCCCTGCTCAGGCCAGACCCCCCCAGGGCTGTGCCCAGGCATTTCCCGGGGTGGGGCCGGGCTCTGCTGCCCTCTGCAGAGCCCCGGGGACTCTGCCTGCCTTGGCCGAGACCCGCCAGGAGCCCTGCTTCCCTCCGGGGTGTCCCAGGCCCTCGGCTGCTGTGTTGGGTTTGTGAGGCAAGGCACAGCACGAGCAAGACAGAGGTGATGGTGTGTATTTGAGAAAGTCACAGTCGATTTGATGGGACCGAGTGTCTTGGGTTTTCCCATTAAAAGCTGTTTCTCCAGAACGGCTCCCTGCCTGTGTGGGAGGGGGAGGGGGCACCAGGAAATGTTACCCAAGAGGTGCAAAAGGCCCAAATCAGAGCTGGCAAGCCCTGAAGGGCTCCGAGCCACCCCGAGGGCCAGTTTACTGCCAGCGGGGCAGGCAGTGGCTGGGGGGACTCCCCTGTCCCCTACCCCAGCAAGTCTTCTGCCAGATTACTTGGCCCGCAGAAGGGTGCGTGTGCCTGTGCTTGGCCAGCTGGGGTGAGCAGCCTTCTGTGTAAGTGTGTCTGTTGGTCAAGCTCGTGTATGCCAGCACATCTGTGGACATGCAAGCACTGTGTTTACAAGCAAGTGTTTGCCTGTGCTTGGATGCCCTGCCCACACCATACTTTCTCCCTCTTTCCCGGAACAACACTCCATCGCCAAGGCGAGTGGCTCCAGTGGAGTCAGCTGTGGATCCAGCACGCTCCGCAGCAGAGCACTCTGGTCCGGTGCACAGGGGGGTTTCCTGAACAGAGGGAACATCGTGGGGAGCTGAGAGATGGATGGGACCTGGGCAGGGCCATGAGCCATGGTGGCCAAGCCCCCACGCATATAAAAGAAGCCCTTGGGGAGTGCCAGCGACCAGGGTGGACAAACAGGCCTTGGTGCGGCAGAAGGGTGCACAGGAAGGCACTGAAGCCCTGCCATCTCGACCAGGAGCAATGGCCTCCACCCAGCCATGGCCTCTCCAAGCTCTGCCCCCACCATGACTGATGCCCAGGCAGAGCTCTGGTGGGAACACGCTGCCACCCCAGTGCCAGGCTGCAGGATCTGCCCTGCTCTGACGGCAGCAGTGAGCTTCCCTGTGAGAGGCATGCAAAAGGAGAGGAGCTCCTCCGCTCGGTGACAGAGTCCTGCCCTTGGGTCACACCAACCCCACGCAGCACTACAGGCTGGGGAGAAGTGGCTGGAGAGCTGCCCGGCAGAAAAGGCCCTGGGGGTGCTGGTGCTGAACATGAGCCAGCAGTGTGCCCAGGTGGCCAAGAAGGCCACCAGCAGCTTGGCCTGTGTCAGCAATGGTGTGGCCAGCAGGAGCAGGGAGGTGATTGTCCCTCTGTACTGGGCACTGGTGAGGCCGCACCTCGAATGCTGTGTGCGGTTTTGGGCCCCTCACTGCAAGAAAGACACTGAGGTGCTGGTGAGTGTCCAGAGAACGGCAAGGAAGCTGGTGAGGGGTCTGTAGGACAAGTCTTATGAGGGGTGTCTGAAGGAACTGGGATACTGGAAAACTTGAGTTAGTCTGGAGAAGAAGAGGCTGAGGGGAGACCTTGCTTTCTACAACTACCTGAAAGGAGGCTGTAGTGAGGTGGGGGTCAGTTTCTTCTCCCAAGTATCAAGCGATGGGACAAGAAGAAATAGCCTCAAGTTGCCCCAGGGGAGATTTAGATTGGACATGAGGAGAAGTTTCTTCACTGGAAGGGTTGTCAAGCATTGGAACAGGCTGCCCAGGGAAGCGGTGGAGTCACCATCCCTGGAGATATTTAAAAGACGTGTAGATGAAGTGCTTAGAGACATGGTTTAGGGGTGGACTTAGCAGTGCTGGGTTAAGAGTTAGGCACAATGATCTTAAAGGTCTTTTCCAACCTGAACAATTCTGTGATTCTATGATTCTGACAGGAACAGCACCATAGAACCTAGATTTGGCCCAGAATCCCTCTAACAACTCTGGAGATGACTGCAACAGCCCAAGAGACCTCAGATACCCTCATAGCATCCCAGGGGCACATGGATGGCCTTCAGTAGAACCCAGAGAGCACTGTTACTTCAGTTTGAACCAGTTCTTTACGTTGATTTTTTTTTTTCCTTTGTCCAATACTTTTACTACATCTTTGGACATTTTCCAGCCCCTTCTGGTCTTGTATAGCATGTTGGTGATTAACGATGCCTTTTCTTGGTTTGTAAGGTGCTATTTCTCACATTCTTGTGGTTAGGCTGCGTGGCGGGGCAGCATGCATCAGCTTTCACCTCTCCGGGAGCTTTGACTTCCTTTTGACAGTTCTCCCACAGTGTCACGGCATCCAAGTTGGCGATCAAGCTCTGAATGGCTGGAGCATTGGACAGGTAAAAAGCGGTGTGAAGGTCAGGACCAGTGGCTGGTGGTTAATGGATCATACGCTGCTTGGATGCCAGTAACACATGGAGTACCACACTGGGCTGTGCTGGAAAGTCTTCTGTTTAATGTCTTTATCAATGACATGGAGGAGGTGACTGAGCCTGCTTTTATCATGTTGGCAGATGACACCAGGTTGGGAGGGACCAGTTAAAATGCTTCCCACAGGACCACCGTTCAGGGAGCACCATTCACCCTGGGGAAATGGGTTGACAGAAACCTGATGAAAGTCGACCAGGACAAATGTGAAGTCCTGTACCCTGGAGGGAAGACCACAGCAGTGCTGGTGGGGGACAGACTGGCTGGGGAGCAGAGCTGGGAAAAAGGCCTGTGTGTCTTGATTGACAGAAAGGTGAACATGATCCAGCAGCACACCCTGGCAGCAAAGAGAGAGCAACAGAAGCCTGGGCTGGGTTAACAGGGGCATAGCCAGCAGACCAAGGGGAGTGATTATCCCCCACTGCTCAGCATTCATTAGACCACATCTAAAATCCTATTTTAGGGAGCCAGGAGAACCTGCAGCCCTCCCCTACACATCCTAGGACCCCCAATTCTCTCCCCAAAGGTATTGCTGGTGCCCCAGTATCTCCCAGAATACCCATTACCTCTGCCTCTCCTTGCAAGTCCTCCCTAGGATTCTCCCCACATTCTCTCCACACAACAAGCACTCCAGGTCACCCCAGGAAGCCAAAAGCTCCCAGAACCACCTAGGAATTCCAAAGCCCCCAGGACACCCCAATGCCCCCTACCTACCCTGCCATCTACCCTCCAAACCCTGGCACCCCCAAGACACTCCTGTTCCCTCGAGACCCCCCATACACCCCAAGATGCCTTTCAGTCCCAGGACACATGTACACCCTCCGCTATGCCAAATGAATGCAGGTACCCAGAGCCCCAGTGCCCTCCACCCACC